CTGGCCCCTTGTTGTCGTAGCTTAGTGTAGGATCAGAAGCTTTGTTAGATGACCTTGACCTTGACAGAGAGAACGTTTCAAGTACCATGTTGCAATGAACTCTGGCAAGACAAGAACTGGGCACTCTGTAGAATAATCTGGTGGTTTTATCAGAGTAAGAGAGAACAATGTGATTTGTCTGTTCGCATGAGACAAAACTTATTCATTTTATATTACGAATACAAAGTTGGGTCCCAACTTGCCCAGAAGTAGCAAACACGTAGTAGGTATTCAGCCATTGTCGAGTGGATAATTGCATGATTGGAACAGACAGATTAACCAGATTTCCAAGTCTCTCCATCTGCCCTCAGCTCCCACCTTACACACACACGCCTGCTGTTTGAATTGCCTTCAAGGACCCAAGAGACTATAAGCTGCTCCAGATTTGGAGACATTTCAGGCCAAAGTTTAGTACACAGTTCCTAAATCAAAACTGCACAGGCATTCATTCAGTCTACTACTTGGGAACAGTTGCTTTCCATAGCTAGACACTCAGCAGTTTTAAGGAAGAAACAGGGCTCAAGTGGAAAATATTTGTATAGGGAACAAAAGCAAATGGTGTTGTGTTTGCCAACGACATCTTGGAGAACCAGTGGGTAGTAAAAGAAGGAAAACAAAGAAGACTGATATTATAATATGCCTTTCTTTCAAGCACACACATACATAAAACCAAAGTAAGGCAAGCCCCTTTAAGGGGGAATGTTTCTGGCAGAAATAATTACTCTATACTTATTGCTGTTGGAGTTGTGGCCCAACAGGGGAATAAAAAGTACAAGGCAATGAAGTAGAGCTGCAAGGGGGACCAACGGGCATTGAGCAATTTACAAAGGGCTCAGTTTATTCTACCTGGAGAAAGGAGTGTATATTTTAAAATATCACATTTAATTAACACTTGAAGAGAGGAACCTAACGGCTCACACCGTGATTCTAGGCAGCTTTTGTATGAAACAGATGAAGGGGAAAAAACCTGATTAGGCACTGGCCTTAAGCACAGTTTCCCTGGATTTCCTTTTTCCTCTTTACCATATAATAACATGGCTGAAAATTAGTTCTGACAGCTAATCAGGGTGAGTGGCTCTTTCTTTTCCTGGAGTGGTTAACAAGTACTGTGCATTGTGCCAACACACCATACTACTGAATGGGTGTGGGGAGGAAAGAACTGATTAGTTATTTCGTTGCAGCCAGCTCTGTGCCTCCCTTCAGTTGAATCAGAGGGATCCTGTGGTTACTGGGGTCTGGTATGTGTCTGAGGGTAGTCTGGGAATGTTAGAATTCAGTTCTGCTAATATGGTGGCTCTTCCTCCTCCCTGTTGGTCCTCATGTGTCCCCCCCATCTGTCTCCAATGTCTCCCACTCATAATTACTGCTGTTTCTGATGGCGTATTGGAAATCTGTACTATAAAGATGGAGTGTTGGTCTATATTTAAGCTGTGGAATGATAAAGCAGGACTTAACTAAAGACAGAAGAACAAAATCAAATCCTGGTTGACTCACAATAGAACAAGAATTCATGTGTAAAGGTCAGATGTGAGGTCAGGGCATCCCAGGTGAGAAGGCAGGTGCTTCCCTCACTAAGGGGTGCCTTTTACTTGGTTGAAGTGAGTTTGCCTCACCAAGAGTTTTGTTTTCTCAGCTTGGAATGCAAAAGGATGATCATTGCTAAAAGGGCTGCAAAGGAATGGAGTGGAGGAAAAGAGCTTTAAAATATTCAGATGAAAGCTATGCAAAGGGATACAATGATTGCCCCACCAATTAAAAATAATAGCAACAGCAAAAGTGGCCAAAGGGGTGGTATCTGGGCCAAACGCAGCCCACAGATTCCACAACACCTGCCCTGAAGCTGATCTCATTTGAAATCTGGAAAACTACAGTTTCTGACATGTCCCCTTCCTAGGGAAGGAGCCAAAGGAATGGCTTCTGGGTTTAATGGGCAACATGACAAGCCAAGACCTGAACTGTGACATCTCTGACTAAGCTGAGAGTAGCCATGTCCACATCAATGAGTTGGGGTGCTTGGTCATGCCCCACTGTGCTCTTGGCTAGGCTTCTGGAAGTTCTCCATTTTAGGTCATCCTTTGAGGGAGGAGGGGGCACTCATATTTTCCAGGCCAGTTTTCTTTGGCTTTCTAGAAGGAAGTACCCCTGAAACAAGAGTGAGCCTTTCTTAGCACAAATGTCCTGGCATTTCACTGCTCTGTTTTGCTGTGTCCCTGAAAGAAGGTCAAAGAAAAAAGAAAAAAACAAGTCTTCAAAATTGCTTGAAAAATGGACCAGCTGTATTTTAGTTGGATGGACAATTGTGCTGTCTTTTTTTTTTTAATTATTGTGTTAAAACACACATAACAGAAAACTTACATTTTATTCATTTAAAAATGTATGATTCAGTGGCATCTAGTACGGTCATAACGTTGTGCAACCATCACCACTCTCTAGTTCCAGAACTTTTTCATCACCCGAAAAGGAACTTGTACCCATTAGCAGTCACTCCCCAGTCTCACCTCCTCCACTCCTGGCAACCACTAATCTGCTTTTTGTCTCTATGGGTTTGCTTCTTCTGGGTATTTCATGTAAAAGGAATCATACAACGTGTGGCCTTGTGTGTCTGGCTTCTCTCGCTTAGTATAACAGTCTCAAGGTTCATCCATATTGTAGCACATGTCAGGACTTCATTCCTTTTATGGGTGGATGATATTCCATTGTATGGAGAGACCCCGTTTGGTTTACCCATTCGTCAGTTGATAGACATTTAGATTATTCCCACCTTTCACATATTGTGAATAGTGTTACTATAAACATTTGTGTGTAAGTTTTTGTTTGAACCTGTGTTTTCAGTTCCTTTGGGTACATGTCTAACGGTGGAATTGCTAGGTCATATGACAATTGTATATTTCCCTTCATAAAGGACTGCTAACCTGTTTTCCATAGAGGCAATGCCATTTTGCATTCCTATCAGCCATGTATAAAGGTTCCAATTTCTCCACATTTTCGCCCTCACTTGTTATTTTTCTGTATGTTTATTACCATCTTGGTGGCTGCAAAGTGATATCTCACTGTGGTTTTGATTTGCATTTTCCTAACAACTAAGGATGTGGAGCATCTTTTCATGTGCTTATTGGCCATTTGTATATCTGCTTTGGGGGAATGACTATTCAAGGCCTTTGCTTATTTTTAAATTGACTTGCTTTTGGTTTTGTGTTGTTGAGTGATAAGAGTTCTTGAAATAGTCTGAATATGAGACACCTGGCCAATATGCGATTTGCAAGTATTTTCTCCCATTCTGTGGGTTGTCTATTTGCCCTCTTGACTGTCCTGTTTTTAAAGAGAAGATACCACACAAAGCATGTGGATGTTTTGGAGAAAGGAGTACCGAATAGGACAGCAACAGCCTTAAGTTCTGACCTAGGGGAAGTCTCCTTGCCATCATTTTTTCTTTCTCTCTCAGCCTCTAGTAGGTAAACTTCATCCCAAAGTCTCCCCGAAATAATTACAAGCCACAATAAGTTGTATAAAGATTCCATGTGCCAAATGTGGTGCTGGATGCCTTAACTGCATCTGCCTCCATCCTTGTAGCCAGTCTGCAACGTGACGGTTATTAATCCCATTTCACAGATGAGGAAAGCAAGGTGCAGATATGTTCATGAATGAATGAAGGTCTCCATGGCTCACAAGCAGCAGAGACAGGATCCAAATCCAGGTCTGCCACATCTCTTCTTACTTAGCCACATGTTTGTTAAATTTTGTTCTCGGACACTCTGGGGCCTCCACGTGGGTGCCTCTGGGGCCTACCTGGCTAGAGGAAGGAGGATCAGTAGCAGGTTTGGGTCCCCGGGGCCAGCACCCACTCCTAACAGAGCAACTCTGCTTTCATCTTTTTTATAATTTGGGGCTCAGGTATAGGACTTAAAAAAATAAAAAAGCTTCCAGTACTTTAAAAAAATGTTTGAAAACCACTGTTAAGTCATGCTGCTTCATGGAAGAAAATCCCAAAGTTCTTATAATTTCTTGTAATATAGAAGTTTGAAGAAAAGTCAGTTCTAAATGGGGAGCTGTTGTGCACTGGGTATAAAGTTTCAGTTTGCTAAGTGAGTAAGTTCTAGAAATCTGCTGTATCATGCAGTGCCTATAGTTAACAATACCATATTGTGCACTTAGACAGTAGATCCCATGATAAGTGTTTTTACCACAAAACAAAAACAAAAACAACCACCAAAAAAAGCCTAGGGGACACAAGAAAACTTAGGGGGGCATTGGATAAGTCTACTACCTTGACTGCAGCAATTGTGTCACAAATGCTTGTGTGTGTTCAAAGTCATCCAACTGTATACATTAAATACGTGCAGTTTGTTGTATATCGATTATACCTCAATTAAGCTATTTTATTTATTTGCGAAAAAGAGCAAGCAGGAGTGGGAGGGAGGGGGGAATGTGGGGAGGGGCAGACTCCCCGCTGAGCAGGGAGCCCTACATGGGGCTCCATCCCGGGACCCTGAGATCATGACCTGAGCCAAAGGCAGACCCTTAACTGACTGAGCCACCCAGGCGCCCCTCGATTAAGCGATTGTCTAAAAGGAAACCAGTTCTTAGCTTCATTGATAGAAACCTGTTGTGACATATTTGTACCCCCCCACCCAACACACTCACAGGTGCTCCCTCTGTCATGCTATTCCTGCACATTCCACTCCCGGTGGGCGATGCCAGCTCTGGAGGGAGTTGCCTCTGAACTCCCACTCACCAAAAAAAAAAAAAAAAAAAAAGAAAGAAAGAAAAAAGAAAAGAAAGAAAAGAAAAAAAGAAAAGAAAAAAGAAGAAGTAAAAAGAAAAAAGTAGCTTTTGCCAGGGACCGCACCCACACTACTTCCTGGCAACCAAGACTGTCACTGATCATCAGTCAGGTATGCAGCCGGCTCAGCTTTGATAGCATTCTCGCAGCCAAACAGCTTCAGAGACTCTCCAAACCGAGACACCTATCTTATTCTTTTATTTTTCAATCAGCAAAATGTGTTACCACCAACCCTCCAGGGAGTCCTTCGCACTTCATCATTCCTCGTCACGATGGCGGTATTCAGGAAGAGAGCCGTTGTGCCCAAAACACACGGATCTGAGGCCAAATCTGAAGTCAAGTGGCTTGCAGGTGACTGCCCTCCCAGTCTGACAACTGGCTTGGAGGGAGAGGTAACTGTGTGACCCAGGGAGGTGGTCCTGAGGCTGCCCGTTCCCACTTAACACGTCTGATCCTCTAGAGGGCGCTGCTCTGGGCCTGGAAATACCCCGTGCAGGGAAGGTAGGTTTGGGCTCCACCTCTGCATTTCCCTTCTTGGGAGACTCCAAGAGTTGCCCCAAATTAGAGTCGGCATCGGAGTCTCATGGCTCCGTGAAGACACAAACCTGCAGAGAGAGTGAGGGGCCTTGTCGTGGCTGCGCGGGGACGTGGGTTTGTGGAGCTTCTTAGCACTGCATGCATCTTGGGTTTCTGAACATGTACTCTGCGTGCCAGTGAATTGTCGCCAAGTACCTGCTCAATCACGGTTCTGGTGTGAAATCACATGAAGAGGTTTAATGCTATTTACTCCTTTGGTCAGAGGTGAGGAAAGGGGTAAGGGGAAAATTCCTGCACTCCAGAGAAATTGAGATCCCAAAGTGGAACACCGTTTTATCCTCCACTTGGGGCTTTTCCCCAATTTACACATTATACAGGACACCTTGTTCCCTTCTGTTCTCAAAAGTTACTCACCTGAGTATTTATTATCAAACTCCTATAGGGTGAATGGTGCTTCCCGGCCCCCTTCATCACTGACCATGAGCGTTTGGGCCCAAAGGACCTGCGGACAGAAACTGTGGAGCAGGCAGGTGTCAGCAGGATGTGTCTTCCAAAACGGCAAAAAGCCTTCCTCACCTTCAGACCTCCCCTGATGACTTGTCCGGGTACCACTCCCCTTCTCTAATCTAACCAAAACTTTTCTAAACTTAAAACCACTGAAATCACTCACAGGTCACACCCATCAATGTGGCGCCATTGCTGCCAGAAGGACCCTGGCAGAGTACACAAAGGGTCGCAGACTCAGCTGCAGGGTGACCGCTTCTTGGGCTCCTCAGCCCACAAGCTCTAAGGAGATACAGATTAGAGCAAGGCCAGGTTTGTCCTACTACTTGCTGCTTTGGTGCGCACACCCACGCTGGGCTGTGCCCGACCCACCTGTTCAGGTAATCGGCAGGGCCTCGAGGCTCCAGCCACGGGAATAGGCAGTGAGTCATCCCTGAAACACCACATGCCCTGAAGTCGAGAAGGCGCGCCTCTCCCGCCATCTTGGCTCCTTTCAAAGCCTTGGAGTTCACGTCTCATTTATTGTCTTCTTTACCGTCAGGAAAAGTTCTTTCTATGCCCCGAGAAAGAATATAGCGAAGAGCAGTCTGTTAGAGCCTGGACTGCCTTGCTTCCCAGTGTCCCAGAGATTTATTTATACGATGTGGTGTCTAGTTTTTTTGTAGCAAAGATTTCCATCTGTGAGTGACAGGATAGAAAGGAAAGGCAGCCCCCCCCCCGGAACCTCACCCCTCTCCCCCCACACCCTGCAAGCTGATGGGGAAGTCATTGTTGTGCCATTTGGTCAAGTGCAATAGCTATCTTTAGACTCTCTATTTACCAGAGATGAGATTAGTTGCTATGCTTTTGGGAAACGGAAAACCACTGTGCAGGCGTACAGGAGAGGGGCGCTGAGACTTGGTGGGGAGCATGGTATCCCCAGAAGGAAGGCGGTACCGTGAGGTGCTGACGTAAACCCTCCAGAACACGGTGTGGCCTTGCTGTTTAGATCTTCCTATTAACCCGAACCAGCCAATCTTAGGGATCCTGGGTCAGAAAAGCCATGGATTTGATGCAGAATGATCTCCGGAATATTCTCTCGGGACTGACAAGATTTCAATGAGCAAGAAATAGGAGATTTATGCTTGAGAATATGTCCTCTATGAAATGCAAAAATAACAGGGCATCTGGGTGGCTCCATTGATTCAGCATCTGCTTTTGGCTCAGGTCATGATCCCAGGGTCCTGGGATGAAGCCCTGCACTGGGCTCTCTTTTCAGTGGGCAGCCTGCTTCTCCCTCTCCCTCTCCCTCTCCCTCTCCCCCTCCCCACCGCTCATTTTCCCTCTCTCTAGAGACACAGCGAGAGAGACGGAGCACAGGCAGGGGAGTGGAGAGGGAGAAGCAGGCTTCCCGCCGAGCAGGGAGCCCGATGCGGGGCTCGATCCCAGGACCCTGGGATCATGACCTGAGCTGAAGGCAGATGCTTAACGACTGAGCCACCCAGGCGCCCCATAAGTAAATAAAATCTTAAAAAAAAAAGAAATGAAAAAAAACAAGAAGCCCTCCTTGCCCTGAAACAACATAGATTGTAGGCAGCATTTCAAAGTAATCACAGGACACAGTAGAACACAATGGGTTAGAGATACAAAATATGGTTAGTACAAACATGCTTTTTTTTAAAAGTGTAGCTTGCCAAATTAATTTCTATAAGCAACAAAGAAAGAAATTGGATTTTCTGATTAATTACGCTTACTGATTTTTCAAGGTCATGCATCAAAACAAAGAAAATGGTGAAGGTTTAAAATTGTAATAAGACTTCATGAAGAACTTGTATTTGAAATAATGTTTTATTTCTCTTTTGACAAAACCTATCATTCTTTTAATCAATGATTAGATAAGCTCCTACTTTCAGAATAGTGCCCTGTGTTCATGCTGGGATACAGACAGTTCTGGACGGGTTTAGGATTTGAGGAGCAGGCTCACCTATTTAGGGTCTATTTGCTGGAGCTTAAGAAGTTTCTAGGAAGTAGGAGTGCCTGGGTAACTCAGTCGGTTAAGCGTCTGACTCTCAGGGTTGTGAGATCAAGCCTGTGGAGGCCCGCATTGGCTCTGCACTGAGCATGGAGTCGGCTTAAGGTTCTCTCTCTTTCCTTCCTCCCTGCGTATGCTCACACTCCCTGTCAAAAAAAAAAAAAAAGAATAAAATAAAGAGGTTTCTAGGAAATAAATTATCCATCTTCTTTTACCCTCCCAGTTATATAACTCACCTGTGGCAAATAGCAAAATGTATAGTTGGAGGTCATATGATGCTTGTGTGTGTGTGTGTGTGTGTGTGTGTGTGTGTGTGTTAATGTCTTAGTAACAATTTTACCTTGGAACCAAAATTCACACCTGATCTAAGTCTCATTGTTAACCATGAACCAAGACATCCAATTTAAAAACAATTGTTTTTCTTGGGGAGGGAAAATGGCACAGTTGTTAATGAGGCAGGGATTCAAAAATAACTCTTTGGAGGTATAAGACTGAAAAGGTGTAATTTCTAAAGGATTGCTTAGTTTATTGAAAATAGATACATTCAAGACAAGTCAGAGAAAAGGAAAACCCATTCCAACAATTTCGCTTCATATATAAATACTTGGGGTTATGTTTATACACAACTACACCCCTGCCCACAACCCCACACCTCCTCTGACAAAGGTCATGCTTCTGAGCAGTGGTCACCCTATAATAAAGCTGAGATGGTTTTACCCAATACTACAGTGTCCCTCTAGTCCCACTCCACCTTATTAGACAACATAGATACATAAATCTCTGTCACTGCAGAAGGTTCTGTTGAATAGTGCTGAGGTAGAGGATATTTCCTGCAATTACCTAGAACTAACATCTTTTAAAACAGTACCCTAGTCATCACCAGTTGGTCAAGCAAACATGTGATGGGCCTGCCATCTCAGTGAACACACACAGTATGCTGGTTCAGCAAAACCACAGTGAACACTTTTGTTTCCAGAGTTCACATTTCCTGACGCATCAGGCTTCTGGAGCTGTGCCCTCATGCTTCCTAGATCCCACAAACTTATAAACAGTGTTGGCATTCAGTGGAAAATGAGGACATGGCATAAGAAACATTGAACCTGACAGCTAGAAAAGATGATCTGACCCCTTTTAAATTGTGTCCAAAGGGCATGAGGTCACCTTAATTTTGTTCCCACGTGTAGACTTTCCCTTGATGCACAATGCAGCAGACAGGACAGCTGGATTTAACTGAGTTAGAGCTGAGGGAGGACATGCTGCAGGAAAATTACCTTCGGAATGTGTGGGTTTATGTCAATCACATCCCTACCCCAAGCAACAGATGGGTGGAACAATGGGGCTTCTCCTCTTACAAAGGTGGCCAAGAGTCGTGGAGAAGACACCCCTTTGGCAACAACCCTCTTCCTCCAGGGCAAAGGCAAGTTAGAAACTACCTGTCGATTTGATGATTCATTGCTGAAAGATCTAATTGTGAGCACAGGGATTTATTTGTTTTATAACATGTTAGTAAACACGTGCTATGGTCTCTTACTCTTGAGTCATTCAGAGTCTAGTGGGGGAGTTTAGTATGTTCACTGATTCTTAAAGTATAATGTAACAAATGATTATTTGTGAAGTCAGTGATGATGATGATGATGATGATGATGATGAACATTTATTGGGAACTGTTCAAGTGGCAAGTGCTTTTCTCAGTGCTTTCCATGAAGAAGTACAAAATAATACTTTGGGAATATAGATGCTGGAAGGATCCCCAGGTGAAAATATAACACACCATTTCTCAAAATTTCTGGGAAATTTAGTATACAAACAAAGCAAAACTTTCATAAGTTATTTAGGAGGATAGAATAGTAGAGCAATTTAGATAATGGCTTTTATTTTTTTCAAGTAACCTTTTTATTTTGGAATTATTTTACATTTATGGAATAGTTGCAAAGAAAGTATGTGGAGCCCCCAGATGATAGTGGGTTTCTGATTCAGACAGCAATGACTTTAAGGCCCAGTTCTTTATTTGTTATTGTGGCCTTAGACAAATTATTTAACCACCCATATACTTAGATGGGGCTTCTTGAATTATAAAATGGCACAATAATACTTGCTTTAGAAGTCTGGGAAAGAAAAAATGATATAAGACGTGGGAAGTGCTTTGTACATGCTTGGGCCTTTGATGTGCTTAATAAACATTAGCACTTACTATTATTTATATGGATGATATATTTGTCTCAAAAAATTAATGAAAACCATAGATTACAATAATTTTAAATGGCCAGTGTCTAGCAATTATAGTTTTAGCTCTTCAAAGGATAAATTCCATTTCCTTCCTTATCTTTCTCCTTTTCTTAGGCAGTTGAAGGAGCTCTTAGCTCTAACCTCCACCCAGGCTCAGTCCACACCAGGCCAAGTGGACCCATCATCTGCTTATCCCATGCTGTCAGCAAGCTCTTCCCACCTAAAGAAATGGAAGGAAGATGGAGTGGATATAACCATTGCCTTAGTAGTTTAGACTGAATAAAAGATGGCCAAGAATCAACAGACATCTATATCTCACAGTTCTGGAGCTGAAGTCCAAGCTCAAGGTGCCAGCAGTTCCAGTGTCTGGTGAGAGCTCGTTTCCTGGTTTGCAAAAGATGACCCTCTCATTGTCTCTTCACATAGCAGAGAGCAGCGACAGGAAACAAACTCTCTCCAGTCTCTTCTTTATAAGAGCTCCAATCCCATCATGAGGGCTCTATCCTCATGACCTAATTACTTTTTAAAGGCTCCCATCTCCAGATACCATCACCTTGGGGGCTGGGGTTTCAATATGTGAATTTTTACATTGAGTCCTTGGCACCCATCCAGGATGAGAGGCTGGAACATTCTTTTGTGGTCTGTTCAAGGGGAGCTCACTGAGGGGGCTCACAGAGCACCATCTCGGGAACTCTGGGCATGGATACAGGACTCCCTTTTCTGTGGGGCTGGGCAATGATCCATAACTCAGCTTCCCAGTGTCACCCTGCTGAGCTGGGAATGAGGTGGAAGGACAGAGAAACTAGAAGGCCAAGCAGTGTCTTCTCTTTTCCTCCCTGTCCGTGAACTCTGAGGTGCTGAGGGCCATTTCTCTACCTCACAGACACCGAGAACTCTCAGGACTCCCCCCAGGCCTCTGTGTGGTCCGTTAAGATCATGCATGTTTACCTTCATCATTAACCAACAGTTACTCCTACTATCTCATTTCTTTAGAAGGAAATACTTCTATCTAGGTAATATTTGGGCTATGCATTCAAAATCAGTTTTCTCAAGCTTCAAAATTTCATAAATGGTCAGGCATACTTGAATTGTTTCCATATTTCTCTCTGCTACCAGAAGACATTTCTAGTGCAGGGGCCATGCTAATCTCTGTATCATTCCAGTTTTAGTATATGTGCTGCAGAAGGGAGCACTAGAAGACATTTCTAATGATCACTTAGCACTCCCCTTGATTAAAACAAAGACATCAGCTCAACACTGTTTGCTTTTCCTCCTACCCTTCCTTGCCCACATGAACCTATCCCCCACCCCCAGCACATGCTCTCTCTCTCTCTTTCTTTCTTTCTCAAAGAGAAAGATAGTGATAATTCACCAACATTGGACTTTAGGTCAATTTCAGTTGCTCTTTTTCAATTCCTAACAAACTTAGCAAGGGCATTGGGAAATTACGGGTCATTACAGTCTGAATGGAAATCCCCAAGTCAAGGGTAATAACTTCTTCAGTTTAAAAGCTAATGTTGCCTTTAAGACAATTCTGAAATACATTTGAAAGTTGTTCCCATCAGTGTTTTCTTGGAAAGAAGTTAGGCTGCTTGCAGTGGAGAACATGTTGATAGATTAGGCACCTCTACCATGCCATTCACCAAAGATACACAGCAAAAGTTGCTACTGCAGACCTACTTCCTAGTGGTGAGGTACTTCTGGTCCAGATGGCCATTCTGATCAGGTGGTGACTGTGAGGACCGATATTTTCCAAGTACTTTCTATGATAAGACCTAATGCTTGAGTACTTACTACATTATAGGTTCTATCCTTAGCACTTCACATGTACTGTTTCATTCACCCTGCATGGCAACACTATGAATTGTGCACTATTATTATCCCCACTTTATAGTTGAAGAAACTGAGACACAGAAAGTTTCATTAACTTGCTCACAGGCACACAGGTGGGAAGAAGTGAAACCAGAATTTGAAGTAGGGCACACTGACCTGGGAACTCACACTCTTGACCACTGTGTGAAAATATGCCTCACTTTGCTTTGGGGGTCACACTTCTTTAGAAGCCAACATTGAGCTGCAGGCTGGCAGTCTCACCAAAACAACAGTAATTTGAGAGCCATCGAAATCATCCAACAGCTTGCAGACATTTCCTCTGTCACCCTCTTTCTTATAACATCCCCACAATGATATCACTGATGGCAGACAACAGAACAACAGCAGTGCCAGGACTGGGGGCTGGATTTTTCTACTTGGCCCTTGATCCCAGGGCTTCTAGACCCAGTACATTCTCTCTGAGCTCCTGAGCCAGTCTTCACCTTCAAAGTTACAACCAGATTGATAGAACCAGAGATGTTCATACTAATGCCACAAAAGAGCCAAAAAACTATGTAAAAACTCTTTTCATGTTACTACTATGGTGGGGGAGGATGTCACCAGGCCTTCTGTGAAGTAATCATTGTTTCCAAAAACAGGGGAAAAAAGTCAGTTTCCCAGCACTTCAAGTAAATTCACTGGCAAGGAGGCTTCATGGTTTGAGGACAGCCTTGAAGACAGGTGGCTGTGCTTCATTTATTCCTTATTAGGACTTCACCAAATCCTTTTAACTAGAGTCCCTCTGACTTGTGGAAGGTGGACAAAGAAGGGGAATAGGCAGACTATTGTGGACAAAAGCTCTTACCTCTTTCAAGACAAGGATACAAAGGGTTGGTGCCAGAGTTGAGGTCCAGAAGGAGACATTTCCTCCAATCAGGTGAGAACCCAGCTGTACTTCTATCTCCAGGAGCTCACAAGTCTATAAAACATTCTTATCCTGAGCAGGCCATGTTTCAAAGAAATCTACCTTT